TCTGCTGCCTGACAGTTTTTTTTTTTCCCAAAGCAACTGAGCCTGTTTTGTCCTCTCCCATGACAGGAGCTGATATGGATGTGTGCCTTACAAGCTATGGTCACTGTAACTATGTGTCTGGCAAACATGCCTGCATATTCTATGATGAGGTGAGTGCCTGCCTGAGGTTTTTTTATTATTATTTTTATTATTTGGTGTGCATGGCAGTGGGAGCTGGAGATGCAGGCAGCAGGTTGTCTTTGTGTGGTGCTCCTTTGTGGACTGCAAAGTAAGAGCCAGGGCTCAGTGTGTTTCACTCCAGTGAAGGCTGTGTCAGCCTTTTTGTCAAACCTTTTTCTGAAGCACAGAGCTCTGCCAGCACGATTCTCTGAGCTTACTGCCCATGGGCAAAGACTGACTACAAGTCAGCACTGTCACTGCTGGTGCCTAGGGAAAGAAAAAGTCATAGGAATGGTCTGATACTTTTTGATCCAGATGTGTTGTTAATAAAAGCTCAACTTTACATGTCAACATCGAACCTCAGCTGCAACAAATCAGGGAATTGCTCTGAGTCCCTTGTTTTCAGGTGTGATGAGGGAGCAAAGCATTCACACCATCTGTAGTACTCTGTATAAATTATTTATTTAGCTAAAATTTTGGTGAAGCTCACAGCATAAACAGAAATCTACAATTTCTCCCTAACTACAGCCCAGAGATCAGTTTGTTCTTGAAGTAAACAGACCAGCAGGCCTGCCAATAGCAGCGCTGCTGGAGTTGTCTCCTAGCATGGAAACAGTCTTTGAAGCAAGATCAAGTCTTTTATATCACCATTTGTCAACCAGCTCCTGAGCAGGATCCAGGATTAACCCACAGCCAGCTTTAGCCATTGCTCCAGTGCACTACAAGCTACAGAACACGCTTGGTAATGGGATCCAGACCATAAATCTGTGTAAAAGCACCTACAATGGTCAGTCCTGTATCGGGCTCTAGGCACTGAGCTTCCACACTCCAGCAGGTTTTCTGTGGCTGTGGTATCTCTGGAAAGGGAGAATTCCCCTTCCTTGAGCTCCTGTCTGCTGGTTCTCCTTCTGCAGTCTAGCAGCTTACTTCAAAACTTACTCCCCTGTGCATGGGGAGTTTTTGTAACTTGATTAAAGCCCTGTGGTCCCTGGGGGACGAGGTCTTCAGCTCTCAGATGATTCCTGTGAGCTAACCTGAAATCTCCTCCTCTCTGTCAACATCCTCTGCAAAGCTCAGCTGAGCGTGACGCTGCTTGTGTAACGCTGCGTGTCATGGTAATGTCTCCTGGCACTTCAGCGTCTGCACAAGGCCTGTAAACCTCAGACTGCCTCTATCCTGTGGCTGCTGCAGCACGTGGCATCCCCTTTGCCAGCTTGTGCCTGCTTTCCAAAGCATGTCTCTTCCTGCCAGGCACAGGTATTGGGCCAAGTTTGCATCAGGTGTGCCCATAAAGTGGTGTGCTTGCTTTGTGAGCATCAGCTTGAATAGCCTGTTTCCAAAAGATGCGTTGGTCCAAGTGCACTAGGGAAAACTCACTTCCCTTTGGCCCTCCTTCCCTGCCAGGAAGCAGATGAAAAGCTGGTGTTGTGTGACCATGAGCCATGTATGGGGGTTGGGTTCCTGGTCTCTGAAGCTAGAGGATATTTAACAGCTCTCATTTAACCATCAACAGTGGTAGAGAGGGGTTGTGATTCAGTGCTCAAAAGGGGTGCATGGGCAGAAGCCCTTCTGACTGATAGAGGGTAAGTTTAGACTGGATATTAGGAAGAAATTCTTCCCAGTGATGGTGGTGAGGCTCTGGCACAGGTTGCCCAGAGAAGCTGTAGCTGCCCCATCCCTGGATGTGTACAAGGCCAGGTTGGACAGGGCTTGGAGCAACCTGGTCTGGTGAAAGGTGTCCCTGCCCATGGCAGGGGGCTGAAAGAAGATGAGCTTTAAGGTTCCTTCCAAGCCAAACCATTCTATGACTCAATGCCTTGATTCCCTTTTTTTTTCAGAATACAAAGCATTACGAGCTGTTGAACTACAGTGAGCATGGGACAACCGTGGACAATGTTCTGTATTCGTGTGACTTCTCGGAGAAGATGACGCCCACTCCTCCCAGCAGTATTGTTGCCAAAGTGCAGAGTGTGATAAGTGAGTGTTGAGGCAGAGCCAGCCCCATGTACCACCACAGGGAGTTTTTGGAGGGGGATGGGAGCGTGTGGAAATCAATTCCTTGTTGGTGCCCATTGTTCCGCAGTGGCTGGTGCACCCTTTGCAAAAAGGGGAGCCTCACCACAGGTCATGTGGGGTTACACAAGACTTTCCTCTGCAGCCTGGGGAGCTCTATCCTCTGCTGTTAACACCACTCCAGCCTCTAGTGCTGGAGTTACCAAGCTCCAAGTCCAACCCTGAGGCCTTTCCCCATGCATGTCCTCCCTTCCCAGGCTGTGAGAAGATCTGGGCTGTCCTGCAGGCATTCTGTCCCCACGTGGCTCACTCCTCTTCTCCACCTGATCAGCTTCCTCTTTTTGGGCTGCCAAAATAGATATGTAAATGCCTCTAACTCTCTGGGACTTTGAGGAGATTCCTGTTTCCCTTAGATCAGCTGCTCACTGCAAACTGAAATACCTCATGGCTGAAGGATTTTACCCCTGAGGCACCTCAGCAGCAACCCCTGTTGATGAAAACAAGCTGTCGCTGACCTGCCTAAATCTTACCATTTTTTTCATTCTTTTGCAGAACGACATAAAAGCAGAAAACAAGAAGAGGAGCCGCATGAAGAAGCTGCTGTGATGAATTCACAGGCACAAGGGCAGCATCGGAAACCTTGTAACTGCAAAGCCAGCAGCTCCAGTCTGATCGGGGGCAGCGGGGCTGGCTGGGAGGGTACGGCCCTGCTCCACCACGGCAGTTACATCAAGCTGGGCTGCCTGCAGTTCGTTTTCAGCATCACTGAATTTGCGACCAAACAGCCCAAGGGGGATACTGCCTTAGTACAAGACATGGACTTGGAGGAGAAGCTTTCTCTGAAACCCCACCAGGTGCCCGTGCTGCGGTCCAACTCAGTTCCCTAGGAATTTTTAGGAAGAGAGCTTTTGGATTAAGGAAAACGCCCTCAGACTCTTGCAATGCAAAAATGTACAAACCGAGGTGGGATTTTTCTGTGTCGGCCCAGAGACTGTTCACACGCCGTTTGCATGATATGAAGAACGTTTAACTTTTTTTAATTTTTCTTTTTTGCTCAAGTTTTAGGGGCATTTGCACATATATTTGTACTATACATTTCATTTTAAAAGGAAAACTGCAGTGAGAGCAGGACGCGTCAGAGCGAGGGGCGACCGCTGTCTGACTCGAGGACTCTCTCTGACAGACAGTTCCCATGCAGTTGTAAAATAATCAGAAACTTGTTCTATTTTGTGCCAGTGACAATAGTTTTATATTAAAAGAGAAATACAGTTTTCATACAGCAAATCTATACAATATCATTGTTTTATTTAATGTAAAGAAGCGCTCTTCTTCCCACAGTTATTTTTTCCCATCCCTCCCTGCTATGGTTGCACTACAAGTAGCTACTGTGTATTATGGGCAGTGAGAAATGAGTTCTTTTCCTGGTGTCCATCCTATTTTTTATTTCAAATAAGGAAAAGTGTTGGATTCTGTGTAAATACATCAGTGATGGCATTTTTCAATGTTTTAAAGCTGTGTACAGTGCTACATGTGGTATGACGTTCCTCAAATTGTCTATTGTAGCAGATCGTTTGTCGTAACCTGTCTGTCTCTTTTGTTTCTCTGCCACCTCCCCGCAGCAGAACAGCTAGTTCCACTGTACATAGTAATTGTAACGTTTTAGACTTTACAGAAACTTTCCTGTATTCTGTATATAAAAAAAAAATACTTCACATTCTGTTTTCTCGACTGTCTGTCTTCACTCGTGTCACCACAACCTGGAGCTTCCCCCCGAGTGTCTGACCACAGAGGAGAGGAGCCTGAGGTGGGGGACAAGGCTGGGCTGGGATGGAAGGAGCCTGATGTCCTGTAAGGGGGATGTGGTGGGATGCTGGTGGTGTGGGAGGGAAGAGGGTGAGGACTGGAAGATGATAAAATCACAAAAACGGGTTGAGGTAGAAGGGACTTTTGAAGGTCATCTAGTCCAACCCCCTGCAGTAAGTAGGGAAGTCTTCAACTCAGTCAGGTCCAACCTCACCTCAAATGTTTCCAGGGATGTGTTTTACATCCAGTTCTGGGCTTCTCAGGACAGGAGAGAGATGGAGTGCCTGGAAGCAAACTGGAAGATGAGGGGACTGAAGCACCTCATTTAGAAGGGAAAGCTGAAGGAGTTGGGCCTAATTAGCCTGGAAAAGAGCAGACTGAGGGGATCTTACCCATGTGTTTGAGAAGCTGAAGGGGGTGTGTCAGAGGATGGAGCCAGGCTCTGCTCAGGGGTACTGAGCACTAGAGAGAGAGGCAGTGGGCAGAAATGGGAACAAGGGAAGTTTCACCTCAATGTGAAAGGGAACTTCTTTACTGTGCAGGTAACTAGGCCCTACAATAGGCTCCAGGGGGAGTGGTGGACTCCCTTTCCCTGGAGATATTCACAAACTGTTTGGTCACAGTCCCAAGTGCGCTCCAGGGGCTGGACTAGATGACCTCCGGTGTGGTTCCTTCCTACCTGAACCATCCTGTGATTCTGTGACCTCCCGCCCCTTGGGGCAGGAGCGGTGGGGTCTGGCCCGGGGGGACAGCGGGTGCCCCTTGCCCTGTCCCCCGGGGCATCGATGGGGGGCGGGGGGCTGCGCTGACCCGCACTCACCCTCTCCTCGGGACCACGACTCGACCTCGCTTACCCTCCCCTCGAGCCGAGCGTACCTTGCCCGTCCGTCCGTCGGTCCGTCCCGCCGCGGCGGGGAGGCGGGGGCGACTGCGGGGCGGCCCCAGCGGGGCGGGGCGGGACCGGGAGGTGCCGGGCGGGGAGGAGGGTGGAAAGGGGTCTCCCCCGTAGCGGCGGCGGCGGCGGAATGGGGTGGGCGCTGCTGTGCGTGGGGCTGCTCCTGGCGCTGTACACGCTGCTCCGGCACGGGCTGCGCAGCCCCCCGCGACCCCGCGCCCGCCCCGCGCTGCGCGGCCGCACCGCCATCGTCACCGGTGAGCGCCGGGAGGGGCCGGGAGGGACCCGGGGCAGGCCCGGCCCCCGCTCACCCCCGCTCACCTCCGCTCCGCAGGGGGAAGCAGCGGCATCGGGGCGGCCACGGCGCTGGAGCTCGCCCGGTGCGGGGCCCGAGTGATCCTGGCGACCCGCAACGCCCTGCGGGGAGAGGCCGCCGCCAGCCGCATCCGCACGGTGAGCGCCCGCACCGACACCCCCCCGGGGGACCTCCGGGCACCCTCCTGGGCACTCCCATCCATGTGATATCCCAAGGCAGCACGCGGGCATCCGCAGACACCCCCAGGACACTCCTGGCACCCCACGGGCAACTCCAGGAGACACTTGGGATACCCGCATTGCACACCTCCCCTGGCACCTCAGGGTGGGACATCCCTGAATATCACATGGGCACCCCCAGACACCCCAGTGGGCACCCTGAGGACACTACCATGACATTCCCTCAGCCCACCAACGTTACCCCCGAGAAACCCACAGGTACCCCCAGGAGACATCCCGGAAACCCTTAGGCACCACTAGGACACTCAAGGGGACATCTGTGGGCATCACATGAGCAACTCCCTAAACACCCCTGTGGGTATACCAGGGAAACCCCCAGGCCCTCCCAGGAGAACCCCATGGCACAGTCCAGGGACACCTTCAACAGGCACACAGAAACACCCCAAGGCATGGGCACCTTGTACCATGGGGGGAGCTGCATGGGCACTCCCTTCATGCTGGGGGTCCCGGCACATTGCAGCTCCTGAGCATGCTGCAGCCCTTTCACCCTGGGCCAGAACCAGCCCCCAAAGCATCCCCCCTGTCCCCAGCTGGATCCACCTCCACCGTACTTAGGGTACCCCCACCCAGGACAGGGTACCCCCACCCCAGGCTGCCCCCTCAGCCCTTCCCCTGCCCACAGGAGACAGGGAATGAAGAGGTGCGGTTCATGCACCTGGACCTCGCCAGCCTGCGCTCAGTGCGAGCCTTTGCCAGCACCTTCCTGCGCCAGGAGCCCCACCTGCACCTCCTCATCAACAACGCGGGTGAGTGCCAGGACCCCAAATGCCCCCTGCACCCTTGGGGCACCAGCCGTGGGCTGCCATTGCCTTCTTCGCAGGGGTGAGCGCCGGGGGCACGACAGAGGATGGTTTCAGCCTCCCCTTCCAGGTGAACCACCTGGGCCACTTCCTGCTGACCCAGCTGCTGCTGGAGCGGCTGCGGAGCTGCGGGCCCAGCCGGGTGGTCATCGTCGCCTCCAGCGCCCACTGCGCCGGCCGCCTGCGCCCCGAGTCCCTGGGCCGCCCTCCCCCAGGGCTGTTCTCTGCCTTCCAGGACTACTGTGACAGCAAGCTGGCCAACGTGCTGCACGCCCGCGAGCTGGCCACGCGGGAGCAGGACACACAGGTCACCTGCTACGCCGTGCACCCAGGTAGGACCCGCACTGGGTGGGCTCACCATCGGCGTCTGCCGGGGGTGTGCTCTGCACACCTTTGTGTCCCTGTGTGTCCCGACCTCGTGCTTTGCATGGTGAAGTCACGTGCACAGGGGCTGCTGTTGCACAGGGAGTGTTTTGCATGGTGCAGCCTTTGCACAGGGAATTCCTGCACGTGGAGCATTGTTCCCTTGCACGGTTGTTACTCTTTGCACAGGGTGTCCTTTTGCACATGTGTGTCCCTCTGCATGGAGTGTCCCTTTTATATAAGTATGTCCCTTTGCAGTGTCCCTTTGAAGAGCGTATTCCTTTATACAATGTGTCCCTTTGCACATGTGTCCCTTTGCATGGCGTGTCCATTTATATGGTGCGTCCCTTAGCAGTGTCCCTGTGTACAGTGTCCCTTTTCACGGTATGTCCCTTTGCATGGCATGTCCCTTTTCACAGTGTCACTTTATACAGCATGTGTCCCTTTGCCGTGTCCCTTTGCACAGGTATCCCTTTATACAATGTGTCCCTGTGCACACACCTTCCTGTGCACAGCATGTCCCATGGTGTGTCCCCTTGCACAGTGGACCCCTACACAAGTATCCTTTCACAGAGCACTGTGCACCACTGACCCCCCCCACACACACCCCTTGTACAGCCAGGGCAGATGTGGCAGTGCCAGCAGACATTCACAGCCACACTGCCTGTGCCAAGGCCACCACGGCCATCTCCCTCATGTGCTCAGGGGACACTCCACATCTGCTGTCCCTCGTGCAGGGTTTGTCAACACGGCGCTGTTCCGGCACGCACCGCTGTGGCTGAAGCCGCTGCTGCTGCCACTGGCCTGGCTGCTGTTCCTGGACCCGTCTGAGGGTGCACAGGTGGTCCTGGACTGTGCCACGCGGGATGGCCTCGAGCCCCTCAGCGGCCGCTACTTCACCGACAGTGGCCCCCAGCAGCCATGGCCACGGGGGCGCGATGACCGGCTGGCGCGGGCGCTCTGGGAGAGCAGCGAACGCCTGGTGGGGCTGGGGGGGGACAAAGTGGGACCCTCCCCAGCCGCCTCCACTGCTCCTGCACAATAAAGGTGATGGTGGTGATGGGGGAGCCCGTCGAGTCCTGTGTGGGGTGAAATGGGGATGCATGAGGGCTGTGGCACTGCGGGGGCAGGTGGGCACGTGAGGGGCACCGGCCCTTGCACAGGTGCTCACCAGGCCCTGCTCCGTCTGAGGGTGTGTGTGTGACACGGAATGGGTGTGCAAAGGGGTGTGTGTGTGCACTGCAGTGTGTGCATGGGCGTGTAAGGAGGAGGTGCCGCACGCACACACACGCAGAGCAGCACACACATCCCACCTTGTACATTTGTGTACACACTGCAGCACACACAGACCTCCCTCCCTTGCACACGCTGCAGCACAACCCCCTGAACCCTTGCATACCCGTGCAGTGTCACCCCCCCTTGCACACCTATGCACGTGCTGCAGTGCACTCACACCTCTTGCGGTCACATACCCTTCTCCCCTTGCACGCCCAGTGTCACACTCCCCCCTGCATACCCATTGCAGTCTCTCTCCTGCATGCCCATGCAATGACTCTCACACCCTCCTTGCACACCCCTGCAGTCACAAACACCCTCCCTTGCACACCCATGCAGGGTCTCACAACCCCCTTGCACACCCCCACAGCGACTCTCTCACAACCCCTTGAAGAGCCATGAAGTCAAACTCCCTTCTAACCCTAAGCCTATCGCAACCTATTGCGGTCTCTCACTCACACACACCCCCTGCACACCCATGCAGTGTCACCCACCCTTGCACACCCCAACATGGCGGCGCCCACAGGCCTCCCCCGGCAGGAGGCGCCGACCTTCCCAACATGGCGGCAGATCTTGGTCCCGCCCCCAGGGGTGCGGCAGCGACCTCCCCAAGATGGCGGCGCCCGCGGGCCGCGCCCCCGCCGAGCGAGGCGCGGGGGGTTATGGGGGCGGGCGGTGGCGGCGGCGTGGGCGTCATGGGGAATTGCTACACGGTGGGGCCCAACGAGGCGCTGGTGGTGTCAGGTACGGTCCGGGATGATCGGCGAGAGAGAGGCTGAGGGGTCCCTGTCGGGGTGGGGGGAAGCACTGAGGTAGCTGGGTGTCCTGGCTGTGAGGGGGCTGTCAGAGGTTCGAGGGGTCCCTGTCATGAGGGGACCATGAGGGAGTTGCGGGGGGTCTCTGTAATGGGGTCTGCTGGGAGCGGGGGACTGGGGGGTCTTGACTGTGAGGAGCTCTTAGTGGTTTGAGGAGGGGGACGGGGACCCCGAGGGAGTTGGGAATAAACAGGGAGGGGGGAGATGCTGTAGTGGAACTGGGGGGGCATCTCTGTAATAGGATGTGATAGAAGGGGCTCCTGATGGGAATTGGGGGGTCTTGGCTGTGACGGGACTGTCAGGAGTTCGAGGGATCCCTGTCGTGAGGGGATCCTGAGGGAATTGTGGGGGTATCTGTAATAGAATTGGGGAGCATCTCTGTAATGGGGTCTGCTAGGAGGGTCCCTGGTGAGAACTGGGAGGTCCTGACTGTGAGGGGAGTCTCAGAGGTTCGAGGGGTCCCTGTCATGGGATCGGGTGCTGAGGAGGGAGCTGACCTGAGGGGTTTTTGGGGCACTGAAGGAGTCTGGGTGGTGCAATGGGGGTCTGTCCCTGTCAGGGAGGGGCTCTGAGGCACTAGGAAGGATCCCTGCTGTGGGGGGACCCAGGAAGCTGGTGGGGTCTGCCTGGGGGAGTGTGTGGGATCCTGGGGGGTGTTTGGCAGTACCTGCTGGAGGATGCCCTGTGATTTGGGTGGGGGGGTCCCAGAGGGAGCACTGGGATGTTGTGGGGGGAAATCCTTCCTTGAGGGGACATTGAGTGGGAGTCCGTGTCATGATGGGACCTTGCAGTGTTGTTCCAGGGCTGTCCTGCTGTGTGTGGGCACTGAGGTGCTGGGGGTGTCCCTGTGAAGCGGGGACGGGGGGCAGCTCCTGCTGTGTGGACCCCTGGGCTCCAGGGTGGGTTCTCTACAGCACAGAGCAGTGGGCGAGGTCTGGTGCCAGCAACACCCCCGATGCTGCTGATTTTGGATGATGTCAGGCAGTGGCACCGGCAAAGCTCTGGGTCCCCTGCCAACAGCAAGTTGGCTTTGCTGGGGAAGGGGAGCTGGGTGTGAGCACCCCCCTGGGGCAGCGCACTGCAGGCTTGTCCCTGGGGTGCCCATCTCATCCATCACGTCCTGCTGCTGCTTCCTTACCAGCACATCACCTGGACTCTTGGTGGTGCTGACACTGGATGCAGGTGATGCCCATCAGGTGTGTGGAATGTTACCAGCAGTTGAGCTAGTGGCTGAGGTTGGGGTTAAATAAACCCCAAGTGAAATCTCCGGCGTCTGACTCAGCCTGCAGCTGCTCCAATACTGCCAAAGCTCCCGACTGCACTTTGGCATGGACCAGGCTGCGTGTGGACAGGACTTAATTAATTATTGTTAGGTTAATTAGTTATTCTTAGGTGATGTAAGGGCTGGGAGCTTCACTCTGTGACAGACTGGGGCCAACTGCAAGGTAGCAACCAGCTTAGATACAGATGTTGATCACTTCAGGTGTCCTCCATCATGTCACATCCCCTTTGTCAGTGCTTGCCCAGCTTTGGGGCGGTTGCTGTGGCGTTCAGACCTAAACTCACCCATATGAACATCAAGGATGTGCCTCAGTCATGGCTCCGCTGTGCCTGTGGAACTACACTGTTGTGGTTTTGGAGCCAAAGTCTCCAGTGGACTGTGGCTGGTCTGTTATCAGTTCATCTCTCTCAGATGACAGACCTGTTACGGGAATTTCTGAGGAGATGCCAGGAGCAGGCTGCAGTCCTGGAAACAAATATGCCCGCTGTGGGCATATTACAAACCACACCTGCCAGATTCCCGGAGCAGCAGTATTCCTTTCGGTTTCCTGGTCTCATGCACATCTCTGCAGTTCCCAGTGGAATCTAGAGCTGATGTTGTGCTTCCCTCCAAAGAGACACCTGTCAAAATTGGCACCGCTTGGTGAAATGCCACATTTGCGGGAAGATTGGGAAGCTGTGCTCCAGGTGTGCCCTCAAGTCTTAAAGCTCAGGTTTGCTTCTGTTCAGTTGTGGAGTTTACAAGACACAGCTTGCAGGATGAGCCAGCAGGAATTTGTGGCATCTACTGGCAGTTCCAAGTATTGTGCACGCCCAAAGCCTGGAGCAGCGAGCCAAGGACACTCCTGGACGTACAGCCGTGTTCTGGGAAGGGTGCAGAGATCACCCCAGGCTCTGCCACTCGGAATGGGGTTTGGAGCTGCCACCAGACGTGGTTTTCCTCTGCTCCTGCACAACTCGGTCTGCAGACACTTGCTGTCTCCTGAGGGCACCAGCTGGGAGCTTCAGCGGCACACAAGAGGTTGTGGGAGCTCTGCAGCTCCTCTGTGCTCTTGTGCAGAGCAACTGCCAGGGCATTAGTGGGAGGGTGTTGCTACAAGCAGTTGTAGTTCCAGGAACTTGAGTCATGTTCCTCCAAGGAAAACAGAAAGGACCTTGAGGGCCAGCATTAATTTGTATGATACTAAGTTGGATTTGAAGAGAGAGGAGAAGGGAAGAAGAAACCAATAATAATTACCAATAAACCAAAATAATATTAAATACATTTAAATTAATTTAAATCAAATATTACTGAAAACAGGCTTTTGCCTTGCAGTCTTGAATTGTCATACAGTTGTTATTTGAAAGTCTGCGCTTTGTGGGAAGGCACCTCCAAATCATGAAGCCAGTTGAAAGTTTTCTTTATTATAAATTTAGCCTGTGCCCCCTGGCCTTTAGTCCTGGGCCTCCCCTGGCATGTGGGTGTTTTCTGGGGAGGGGTGTTCTTTCTTTTCACTTTCTTGTGAGATATTTGAGTTCCTCCAGTTTTTAAGGAGCAGCCAGCTGTGCCTTGGGAAAGTGGAGCTTCATAGCCTTATTTGGGAAGCTGCTTCCCGGGCAGGGCTCAGCTCTCTCTGCTGGCACTCACGTCCTTCCCCTGTTGAGCAACATCCATCTCCTTCTAAGAAACTGCACTCAGCTAAGTGATCCACCGGTGAATTGTGGAGCCCAGGCTTTGTGAGGATGCCCCACAGAGCCCTGTGGAGGCAATGATGATCTTCCCAAATTTTGGGTCTAGCTTTGCTGGGTGATGTTTGGTGCAAGCTCTGAGGAGGCATTGGCAGGCGCCTGGCGCATCACTGAGCCCGCTGCAAGCACAGCTGGAGCCAGTTGAGTTTTCAAGGAGATACACAAAGTACCTCTTCATCCTAATACCTAAATATTCCCACCAGCCAAATAGGCTGTGAAATGCTGGTTTGGGGTTACAGTCTGTTTGAATGCAGCTCTCATGGATCGATCTGCTGATTTTGAAATATAACGCTGTAATATTTCCACAGAGTTTCATAATAAGGAAATATAATTTCTAACGGCCACGTTCGTCTTACAGTTACCAAACAGTGTTGCCCAAATCTCTGCAGTTGGGGCACTTTCCTTCTGGCTGTGGTGGGCTGGAGGATGGCACTGTGTGGGAGCAGTCCAGCAGCAGAGGAGCTCTGAGGGGAACACCTGGAGATACGTGGCAGGGAAAGGTTGGCCCAGCCCTCTGTGTTCCTGTGTAAGAAAAAGCTACTGCGTCAGCAAAAATTCAGGGTGTGAAAAAAGGAGAAAGATCAGGGGAATGCAACCCAGCTAACCCAGCTGTATTTCCTGGGAGAACGCTGCAACACAACTATACATAATTGCCATGTCCAGCTAGTCTGAGTCCCCCTTGGGTGAGCAGAAGTCAGTCTGAGAAATACACTCCAGCCCAGTTTCTCAAACTTTACATTAGTGCACACCCTTTGGGGCTCCTTGGTGTCTGTCAAAGTAAAAAAAGAACTAGCAGTTAATTCTAGTTTTGTGTAGACATTTCCTGCTGCCCCCCAGCAGTCAGGGGTAGTCAGCCTTTCCAGAGCCACCCTAAACTCTCCCATCCTGGTGTTGCATCCTTCTTATCCCTGCAAGAACTGATTGTGATTTTGAGACTGGTATTTTCATGGTATTCCTCTAAGTTGAAAGCTTGAAATAAAGATTTTTTGAGGCTTTGCAATCCCTTCCTGCAAGAGACCTACAGTCCACAGTGCAAGGAGGAACTGGTTTCTCAGATACTATAAAATGAATATGAAACTGCCTGGAAAACCATTGCCAGGGAACTTGACAGTAGCTCACTGTTCAGCTGAAAGAATTTATCAAGTAAGTCCCTTGTTTTGGCTTGGATAATGGAATCGAGAATGTGCTTATTGAATTTGCAGAGAGTACTGAGCTGGGAATGGGTTTGAGAGCTTTGAAGAGCTGGATTAGAGTCAAAACAAACTCAGCAGATTGACCCAATGGGCTGAACGAAATCTGATGCAGTTCAGTAAGGAGAAATGCAGAGATTACACTGAGGTGAGAACAGTTGAGTGCATGAAAATGGAACGAGAAGGTCCAGGCTGTGTCCTGTGGAAAGAGGAGGTGAGCAGCAAGAGCCACCTGAGCCCTAAAGCTGGTGCAGTTCCAGTTCTTCAGCCTCAAAAATAATAGGAGTTTGTGGGAAGGAGCAGGCAGCTTCAGCTGGATCTCATGTGAGGTTTTGCCCTGTCTGTGTTCATGCCTTCAGTTCAAACTGTCCCCCGGGGTTGAGGTCGAGGTGTGTTCTACCTCTTGCACCAGGCAGGCTGTGTGCAGGAAACTTGTAGTGGCACTACAGATGGGTTTCTGCCAGGTTTAACTGAGTGCTCCTGCAGGTTTCAGTTTGTCATTTTGGCAAGCTGAAAATCTTT